GGGAGCAGACGGTCCCCCCGGAAGCGCCACCGGGCTGGATGCGAGCCCCGCCCCGGCGGTGGTCTACAAGACCGAGGAGATAATAATAAATTTTATCCAAATTAACGTGGGCCGAGGAAAGGCGGCCACGCACCAGATAGACAAATTTCTGGTAGATTTAGCCATAGACGTTGCGCTAATCCAAGAGCCGGCGACCGATGGTACGGGGATCTACCTGCTAGACAGTCATCCCCTTAGGGTAATCGCGGCGGGACGATAGCCGAAAGCTGCCGTTGTTGTCGCGAACACGGCCATAGGAGTCCTCGCTCTTAGAAATCTCTGTACCCCCCACTTGGCCGCGGCCACGCTCACGGTGGGACAAGTCAGCTTGACGGTAGTATCTTCATACTTCCAGTTCTCTGACCCCACCCAGACACACGCCGACGCGTTCGGGTCTGTTCCGTCCTGGACCAGATCCGCGGCGCCGTGCTTGTCTGTGCGGATGTTAACGGCTGTCGACGGTGTGGCACTATTGAAGTCTCGGACGACCGGGGCAAAGTAATCGTGGAATTGATAAGTAAAACCATAGGACGTCCATAAACAGAGGGTCAGCCAACCTGGACGTCACATTCGCGTCGCCCTCGGTGGCGCGTAGGGTGACGGACTGGAAGGTCATACCGGACTAACGACAAGCGATAATAACGTGATCAGCTTTAAATTTGAGTGCAGCCAGAACGCCCTTCCGTCCACGGGTAACGCCGTACGGAAACGATATTTATGGAATAAAACCGATTGGAAATCGTTCAGTAAGATCTTGAAAAGTTTAATGATAGCACGGTCAGCCGAGCTCGGTTGCCCGGTCGTAGATCCCTGTGTGAACGCACTCTCGGAAGTGCTGCAAACGGCTTGTGATACCCACATGAAACGGGCCGTGGTAGGACGGCTGAAACCGCCTCTCTGGTGGAGCTCGGACCTCGATAGCGAGCTCGTCAGATTGGGACGCTGGAAGCTTAAACTACGCGCAGAACGCAACGCGTTCAAAAAGAGAGCCTTAAGGAGGAAGTACGCAGACTTCAAGAGGAGATATAATCGCGCCTGCTTCAGAGCACGGCAGACGGCCTGGCGCTTCTTCGTTACTGGCACCGGGAACGAGGAGCCCTGGGGCCCCGTCTACAAATGGCTAAAAGCCGGGGGAGCACGGCCCTCGGAGAAATTACCAGCGTCCATCAGAAAAATGGACAGAACATTTACGTGTTCGCTTAGGGCGACCGTTGAGAGACTTCTCTAACAACTGGTCCCTGAGGATAGCGACGCTACGAAAACCGCAGGACAGGCGGAAATCCGTAGAGAGACTGGCGTTTATGTGGGTAGATTCGAGTCGGAATTACCTGGGCTTAGTCCGTCGTTGGACCCGGTTGAACCGTGCACGGTCGACGAGGTAAGAGATGCCATAGTGAGAATGAAAACATATAAGGCCCCGGGCCTAGACGGGATCATGGCAGGAATTTTTCGGCAAGCGTGGCCCGTCCTTAAAAACCAAATTACGTTTGCGTACAATAACTCACTGGCTACGAGGACATTCCTGAGCTGGTGGAAGATGGTTGGTCGTCATTAGGAAATCGTCAGATAAGGGCTCGACGGAGGCTAGGTCATACCGACCCATTAGCTTATTCCCCGTTCTAGCTAAGGCACTGGAACACCTTATCGTGGCGAGAATACGTAAAGATACGGACATCCATATGGCGGCCAGACAATTTGGTTTCACCAAGAACCTATCGACCGTAGATGCAATAACACATGCCTTCGGCTGGTCAGATGAAAGGCAGGAGAAATACATCGTAGGCGTATTCCTGGATATATCGGGGGCGTTTGACTGCCTCTGTTGGGCGCAATTGATAAAAGATCTTGAAAAGGTAAAATGCGGCTCTGGGTTGATCGCCCTGACAAAGAGCTACCTCTACGGCCGAAAGGCCCACTTGACGATTGGAGACATGACACTCTCGACGACTCTAACAAAGGGTTGGCCGCAGGGCTCGGAGTTCGGGCCTGACCTCAGGAGGTACGCGGTCAACCCGCTCTTGTCCGGCGATCTCCCACCCGGGACAAGGATAGTCGCCTACGCGGACGATCTCGCGCTACTCATCTCCGGAAAACACCTTCCGGAGCTCATAGAACGGGCGAACGCGCTGCTAGAAATAGCGTCGAAGTGGGCCACTGACAGGAAACTCGCCTCCTCGGTTGCCAAGTCGCAGACCTTGTGGATCAAGTGCTAATTAAGTAAGCCCGTTGACTTGCGATTTGGAGGAACTAAGTTAAAATGACCCCGGAGACGAAATACCTCGGGGTCACACTTGACAAGCAAAGGAAGTTTAGCTTCCATCTGGCGGAAAAGGCTGCGTCCTCGGTAGCGCTATTCAGTCGACTAATATCTGTGGCTAAGGCTAGCTTAGTCCCTAAAGAAAGGACAATAAGGATCCTTTACAAATCGGTGTACCTGCCGCGTATGAGATATGCGGCCTCGGTATGGGCCGAGCGCTGCATGGCCCAGTACCGGCATCGAACACGGGCAAACACCGCCCAAAGACGCCCGTTACTGGCATTGACGGGCGCGTATAAGACCACGTCGACGATGGCGCTCCAGGTCATAGCCTAAGTACCTCCCTTCGACTTAGAACTAGTCGGCTGGCTAAGATCGAACGGGATAAGAGCGCTGTGAGGAGAGGAAACAAATCGGCGTCAGACGTTGCTGGAAAGGCGAAACAGTATTACGACACTACCATACGCCTGTGCAGGAGAGATGGTTTGCCAGTGACAAAGGCAAGCGGACGACGATTTGGTTCCCGGACGTCCGACGCAGACTGTGAGGCCGTGGTTCGTTCCGGACCACTACATCTCGCAGTTCGTGTCTGGACACGGGAACTTCAATTCTTCGCTCTGCCGTTTCAACCTTCGAGGCGAGGCTCGTTGCCGATGCGGTCTTCCAGAGGAAACCGCGGAGCATGTGCTATTCGATTTCCCAGCATATAGCCAGGAAAAAAACAAGCTCGCAGCCGCAGCGCAAGCGGAAGGTGTGGACTGGCCGTGCGACTGTGATACCATGACCTCCACAGAGGCCATGTTCCTTGCGTTCAAAAACTTCTC